CCCACCTCAGGAGCTGATCTTAGTCCAGACCTAGACTTGTACTACTCAGAGTCCGACAAAGAAACCGGTACCTTTGTTCGAGATAATGAAGACCGATTAATGAGTTTAACACAGGAAGAGCTCGAGCACATCGCTATGGTACAGCAGCTAGCAGAACAAAGCAGCTTCGATTCTGAGTTTGCAAATCGTCCAGCTACCACGAACGATGTAGTGGAGAAGTCCTCTGCTGATGGCAACACACTGAAAGTTCGTGATTTTAAAGCGGGCGAATATGGGCAGAGAAGTGTTGATAAAATCAGGTACGAAGCCGACGAAAACGAATTGATAGCGGATACGAGACTAAAAGTCAGCGGTGATTATAAACTCAAGGAGACGGAGGATGTGGAGATGGTGGACATTAAGACAGAGAATCGACCATTTGCCTCAACGGACACCAAAAACCAGAAAGAACAACTGTCTGATACGCAAGCGAGGGTAGAGACACCGAGGTCAACGCCTACCTCAGGAACTGGCCTCACTCCGTACCTAGACTCATCCTACATAGAGCCCGGCAAGGAAAGCAGTACTTTTGTTCCAGATAATGAAACCCAGTTAATGGAACTAAGACAGGAAGAGCTCGAACACATCGCTATGGTAGAGAAGTGGGCAGCTCAAAGCAGCTTTGAATTTCAGTTTGCAAATCCTGGAAGTGGTGTAGATTGTGTAGCGTGGAGGTCTCCAGGGATGAACAACACGTTGAACTTTCCTATCTTGGTTACGCGGAAAACGCGTGAATATGAGGTGTCGATAAAAGGTAAAATGGAGGGCATGCAAAGCAAAGAGTTTGCCGATTCGGTATTTGACGGCACCACTGAGACGAAACTGGATCAGGCCGAAGGAGTGGGGAGAAAAATGACAGAGGGAGAGAAACAACCGTTCAACCTGAGGGACACCAAAGAGAAGGAAGAGAAGGAATGCAATGCGCAGCCCTTTGTAGAGACACCGAGCTCAAAACCTTTATTCGGAGCGGACGATAGTAGTGATAAAGACGAGCCATACGGTGAGCCTGATCAGGAAGCCGCTCATGACGATGAAATCGATAGATCTCGCGAAATGGAATTGACACAGGAGGAGCTCGAGTATATCGCTATGGTACAGCAGCTGGCAACCCAAGGAAGCTTCAAATATCTCCTTGGAAGAGGTGCGGATTTGAGAAAAGACGTGGTGTGGAATTCTCCACGAATGAGTGACACGGTGATCTTGCCTGACTCGGCTATGGGGAAAAAGACTGAACATGAGCAGAGAACGATATGTAACAACGGATGGGGAACGTTGGAGAACTTAAAGCTTGTGTGTTCAGTACCCATCGAAGCTGGTGGAAATAAAGTGGGTCAGATCAAAGATGTAGAAGTAGTGGAAAGGGAGGAAGCCAGGCAACCGTTTGCCTCGCTGGAAACGAACGACCAGCAGGAGAAACGAGCAAATGGGCAGCCCGGTGTAGAGACATCGAGC